CGGAGAGGCCGGAGCCGATTCGCTAGAGTCCGGTACCTGGAAGGGTCACATGATCAGAATGTTTTTGTTCACCGGCATGCTATGCAGTTGTGATAAATGACTAGTGCAAAAATACAACTAAACTGAACAAAAATAAATAAATAAAACTGATTTGAACAAGGATACAAATAAAATCATAAATCAATAAGACTTTTACTGTCACAATTAATTTATGGCCCGGAAAACTTCCCAATATTATATAACTACCATCTACATAATTTGCTTTGTTCAAAAGTTTGTGCTTGGAAAGATTTGAATGCTTTTCAAAAAAAAAAAAAAAAAAGTGTCTTATGCTCATCAAGGCTGCATTTATCTGAACAAAAGATAAAAATATTATTGTGAAATATTTTTTATAATTTAGAGAAACTGTTTTCTATGTGAATATATTGTAAAACGTTTTTATTCCTGTAATCAAAGCTGAATTTTCAGCATCTTTCAGAAATTAATTCAAATATGATGATTAGAAGCTCAAGAAACATGATTATCAAAGTTTAACTGAACAGAAAGTTCAAAAGAACAGCAAATTTGAAATTGCAATCTTTTTTATAGAATTAAAATGATTTTACTGTCACTTGATTCATTCAATGCATCCTTGCTGAAGTATTAAAAAAAAAAATTGACCCTAAAATTTGTTTGTCTTTTTTTCATTGGTTCTTTGCCGTTCTGCTCACATTTTTAAGATGAACGCCGAGTCGTATTTGGTCTAAGAGAGCGCCACGGCCTCCAGTGGACACGGCCGGCTTGCTGTTCGGCTCCACCTTCTTCAGCTGCGCTCCTCCTCGAATCTGGTCCAGGAGTGCAGATTTTCCCTCGGCAGATCCCCTGAATTAACCTCCGTTAGTGGAGGAGGCGCGGGAGGAGGCGGGCCCGGAGGAGGAGGAGGGGGAGGAGGAGGTGGAGCTCCACCTGAAGATGATGGCGGAGGGGTGGAGGGGCCGGTGGAGACAGGGAGGCGGGTTGGGGAGGTGGAGGAGCTGACCCGTGACCTCTGCTGGGGGGGGGAGGTGGTGCACCAACGCCAGGCCGGAAGGGTGGAGGAGGGGGGGGAGCTGAGGTGGGGGCTCTGGATGGTGGGGGTGGAGGTGGAGCTCCTCGACCTCTGGAGGGAGGAGGGGGGGGAGGAGGGCCAGAGTTATGGGGGGGTGGAGGAGGTGGAAGTCCTGCTCTGGATGGTGGAGGTGGAGGTGGAGGTGCTGGAGAAAGAGAACACAACCATACGTTACGGTAAATGTTAATATAAACATGGATTAATGTAAAAAAAACTTCAAAAGGATGATGCTATTAAGGTGGTGTTATTAAGCACGCTGCAGTTAAAAGCTGTTGGTTACGGTTGCCGAGCAACACAGCAATCACAGAATTTAGAACCTAGGATTAGAATTTTAGAACGTTTTTAAAATTTAAACGTCAAATAATGCGAGGATAATTTATATGTAATGAATGATGTCAAAAACACGTCAAGCTGATGATTAAGTTGCTTTTAAGGTGGTGTAATTAAGCATGCGTGTGCCTGTGTTTGATTGACAGGCACTTTGTATGTTTTTACATTTTATGGGCTTTATTTTACCTCCATAAAGCCATATTTTCTCCTAATTAAATGTACGCATCATATTGTCATATTATTGCATTTATTCAATAAGGATAATATGATAAAATAGGACTGTTGCCAATCAAATAAAATCAATATCAATTAAATTCATCTTTGCAATGCAGAGGACACATTTATGGCGTTAGTGTCATTTATATGCATTTACACAGACACCAATGTGTTTAACCTGCTGTTAAATATGCAGAAATAATGCTTTGATGTTTTAAACACAAAACGTTTAAATTATATAAAAAAAAATAAAATGAATCATTCAGTCAACTGATCAATTAATTCAAACAAGCATTCATTGCATCAATGAGCTCATCGTTTCTGCCATAAATACATTGTTAAATTAATACATTTTTTGCTAACTGTGTAAAGTACATTTTTGAAATGCATAACTGAGTTAATGGACTATTTTCGTTGGCGAAACAGTAAAAACAGGCAATAAAGTGTGTCTTAAATGTAAATATCTTAATATTAACCTCTTGTTTATTGATCACATTTGTAATAATGCACTCTGTGTGATATTGATTATCTATATTAAATTATATACAGAGGTATTTTTGCCCCTTATCTTGAATATTGGAGGCATTTTAATAGACTGCACGCTTTCACTGCGCGATTTACTCTAAATGCACAAGTGCACTAGTCTAACCTACTAGACTACAACACGTAGTGTATTTTATAAAGTGAGGGAAATACTCGATAATGTTCGTTGAAACAAAAACCACGATATTATCATAGACGACATATAGTGCACAGCCTAAATTGAAGGTGTAGTTTTGGTATGCGTTAAGGTCCCGACTCCAACTCTGGTTCTGACTAAAGGCACTAGAAGTACACACACACACACACACACACACACACGTCTTGTAGTAATAGTAGTTTGAATGCAAGCATTCTGATTGGGCCACTGCAACAAAAAAAAGTGTTTTCTTTTAATCACTGCAGACACATGCAAAAGGGGAAGTAACCTACCAGACCACCTCGGGGGTCCTGAAGCACAAATTATTTAAATATTACTCTACAATACGATCATTTTGCTCGGATAAGTGCTAATATCACAACCTGGCAGCTGCACCCTAACTCTTAGACTCACCTTGTCGTCGAAGTTCACTCTTCACAGCCTCTACTCCTCCTTTCTTCTCAATGAAGTCGTAGATGACCTTTGACGTCTCTTTGTCTTTGAGCTCGTCCTCAGAAATGCCACACATGTCAAACAGGTTCTTTAGGTCTGGGTCCAGGTTATTCAACTGGAAAAGACAAGGAGTGAACCATCAACAAATGACTGGAAAGAATCGAAATACAAATGAAACTCTGCTTCTTGTGTTGTAGTCCTCCTCATTCGTTAGGGACGCTTTTGTAGTTCGTCACGTTAACTTTGAACATACATTATCGTGTTGCTCGTTTTCTTAATACTTTTATTCAGCATTAAATTGATTAAATATGTATAACAACAGATTTCAATTTAATATCAATAATAGTAATCAGAGTATATTAGAGTGATTTTTGAAGGGTCATGTGACACTGAAAACTGAAAATACAGCTTTGATCACATGAATAAATTACATTTTAGTGTATATTCACATATAAATATACTATTTTACATTGTATTAATATTTCACTGTTTTTGATGCACTTCTTATTAAACAAATGCAGCCATGAAGACCTGAAGAGACTCAGAAAAACTTTACCAACACCAAACTTTTAAATGGTAGTGTATTCCAGTCACCAGACTTCATTTTGAAGATTATATCTATTTTCCCACCACTGTTTTGCTCGAAACAGGCGCTTGTGCGTCTCTGTTTGCTCATGTTATTTTACACAATGTGATTCAGACTAAGAGTCCATGTACTTTAGACGGGCCACAATGTTTCAGCTAATTCTTCAGACGAATGTGCTGCTTAAACGTTACTAATACTTTCCTCTGATAACGAAAGGCTTCCCTGCACTCCTCTACCGGCGCAATCACACTATAACCCTGAATAAATCCTCTTTATGTAATCTCTCATTCAGGGGAGTTAAAATTACAAACTAGCACACGCAGCCTAAAACACACTGAAATATGATCCTTGATTTTTTGGGAGAATGATTGCTTGGGATTATGAAGACGCAATCACATTGTGTAAGAGATGACTTGCATTTGTGAACCATATCACGTCATGACCTCATCTTAAAACGACACGCAGGCAACACTGAACATCACGGCTTTACATTTGATGCGAACATGTAGCGGCGGAAATACTCACATCAAAACCCGTGTTGGGATCCCATCCTACATGCCCAACATGCCTGGAAAAAAAGATAGAAGCAGAAACATTCACCAAAGGACATCAAACATGAACATGTTCATGGTTACGAAGGTCTCTGCCAGATTAGCACGCATGGGATACATTACACGGGATTAAAAACAAGTGTGCATCCGATTACACTTCCCATCACAACATGGCCCTGTTTACAACTGGTATTAATATGCGTTTTAAACCTAGTTCACACTACATGATTTTAAAACGTCCGGCTGAACTGTGCGGTTCACACCATATGACTTCAGGAGTTGTCGAGCTGTTCACACCACACGACACAACGTGATTGATCAACAACAGGAGGTAACACACTACACCAGTTGACACCAACGATTCAATCTTGTCTACAAACCACGTTTTGTCACGAAAAATCACGCGATAACACGAACTGGAAATGGCACTAAACTGCACACGCGCCAATACCCAGCGAAGAAGACAACACGCGAATATGGACAGACAGAAACTAGTGCTGCAAATGGTTTGAAAAAATGCGAAAAAAAAGAAAAAATAAGATTTACTCTGTGACCTAAACCCATGGTTTGTTTTTGTTTTTTTATTCAATTATATCAAGAAAGTCTTAAAACATAAAAACAAAAGGCATCGAAATATAATCGAGGATTAAAACACAATAAAGTCCATTGTGGTCCTCTTACACATAACGTCAAGACAGGACAATTACATATACCTTGCTCTGATTGGCTGTAGCTCATGACATCACTGAGGTTGAGTTGTGCGACAGCTCTGGATATCTAGCATGCTAGTTATTTTTGTCGTCTGCGAGCATCTTTGATGCGTTGTTGGCTCTTTCGCGAGCGTTCATCGCCCGCTAACCCTCGCGATAACAGCCTGACCTGTCGGCGACCTCAACGATTCGCAAATCGGGCTTGAAATCATGTAGTGTGAGCTGGGCTTTAATTGATTGGATCACAAGTGGACGATGCTAAATACAGGCGTAAAGGTTGAGCTTGTCGACCACTTCCGGAGATACTTGAACACGTGATCGGATTGCTTTCGTAGCGCGGTCCACCTTAGATCAATAATATTGTTGAATATTATATGTCCATATGAATCACATACACACTCTCAATAACCCACTTTGGGAACTGAATGTCAAAAGCACCTTCACACACCCCCAATAGTCCAATTTCATTGGAAAAAAAACCAAACATAACCCTCATGTGGTCGAAGAGTCGCAAAACCCTGCCTGCTTTCCGTCTACTGACTTCACACGTAAACCTTACAGGAAGAGTGTGTCTTTCTGACATCTCCTTTTACGTTCATGTGTAAATTGCACATATTTCACCTATTTAATCGGATGATCTGGAAAATCACAAGAAACATCACAGAAATCAGTTGAAAGTGGACAAAAGAGACGGATTTAAACTCCAGGTGTGAACGGGAACGCGTTTCCCTCGAGTCTTCTACTTGTGATCCGATCAACCAAATGCTTAAATCCAATTCCAAACTGGTTTGAACATAAAAGCAAACTCACCGAAAATTGCTCGGAGTGCCAATTTCAGCTTTGGATATTTTCTTCTTCTTGTTGTTGTTTTTGCCTTTGGCTTTGTCTTTCTTGTTGAAGTTGGCGTGGAGGTTGATGTTGTTCATTTGAGTGTTATTTTGATAGCGCTGGTTGTTGATCTCGGGGTTCTTTATGTCCACCGTTGCCATTGGAAGTGTTGGTCCTAAAAGTCCTGAAGGTCCTGAAACAGTCACAATCAAACTCATTATTAAAATATCCATTCACTGATGCGATTTTTAAAATTATAATGCCTTTTTTTTCTCCATCACGTATCATTCAAAAGCTTAAAAACGCAAAATCTATTTGCTTTGGTTAACTTAAATAACACTTCACACTTCAAAGCAACGAAAACTGAACGCAAGACTAAACCGCCCAATAAAGCTTCTCCCCATCCTGTCCAATTATTTAAGCCCTCAGGTCACAACCTACCTGTGTCCTCAGGCTTGACACTGCACGCAGGCAAGAGTAAAAACGACGGGCTATAGCGCCCGCTAATGTCTCCACCCCCTAAACCCACGTTCAGAAGGATTTTACCCATCACCACACAGGTGCGCTCACTGTGTCGCAGGTTAACCGCGGGGTCAGAGAACGGCCCGTACATCTCGTCCTGTGGGAGAACGAGGCATTGCAGGGGAGCCAGGCATCCTCCCAGATCCGAAGAACCATCTAGTTTCTCATCCGTCGGCGCTGACAAAAAGGTGGTGCAGAACATCATCTCTGAACGCACGCAGACATCCACGACACAGGTGTGTGTGTGTGTGTGTGTGTGTGTGGTCAGGCTGCTCTCGCTTTTCTCTGCCAGCATTTGAAGGCTGCTGTGCGCTAAAGACACGCCCTCTTTTAATCCCAGGAAATTATACACGACCGCTGGATTTTACATAACCGTTAAAGCCAGCAATAAGCTGCGGAAAATCTCCTGGGTTCATGAGGACACGCTACATTTGAGGAACAACAGAAAACCCTCCACGCAGACAGAGGGTCAATACTAGATGACAAAACAAAATATCCTGTCGTTCCTCGGTCAAAACTGACCATCGGGTGAGTAAACCAGCTCTCAAACAGATTAACTACAGTTTAAAGGTCAGAGGTCACGGTGCTGATATGCACATACATACAACTTTTGACTGGTATAGCGCTTTTTACAATATAGATTGTCTCAAAGGCAGCTTCCCAGTGAGAACATGAAATAATACAACACATTATTAATTTGTTTCTGGATGGAAATTGCATCATCGTCCACCTTAGATCAATAATATTGTTGAATATTATTATATGTCCCCAACTGTATGTAACCTGAATAACTCAATAACCTACTTTGGGAAGTCTGAGTGTTAAAAGCACCGCCACACACCGACAACAGTCCAGGAAAACAATACAAACTCAACCCTAACACCCGAATCATCTTCACGTTACTTCAAAACCTCAGCCCAGTATATAGGAAGGGGCCAGATTTTCCAGTATGGCTGGATTTCTGCCTCTCGGGTGGATGTAAGTGCAAATGACGTGTTAGCATACGTTAGCTGGGTAGGGTAGTGGAGAGCCCCTGAGGGTCATGTGGTGAAAGACCATCACTACTGTTTTATGTTTTATTTTTATGTTCGTGTTTTATTTTTCGTGATGCATTATTTTGCTTTGCTTCAGCTGTGATAAAGAAACATTAGAGATATGATAGAGGTATCTGTGGATTTTGGGGGTGGAGCAATGAAGGGAGGGGTGTTTCTCAGAATTGTGCCATTATTTTAATGACAAATGAAACATTTAATATTACTAGTTTTTTTATGTTTATAAAATGTAATAATTCAATGAAATAAATAATATTTGTGAAATTCAAACATGCCCATTTCAATTAATGCCGCAATACAAAATTGTTATGGTCCTAAAAACAGGTTATTTCTTACACTAAAATATAATTTGCTGTTTTTTCCTTTTGATTTTTTGGGAGAAAAATGAACCTGATCTGATTATTCAACATGTTCATAAACTAGCATTATCTTCAAAGAATCTGCAGACATAAAAATCATTTTAACCGGTAAACTTTGTCAGTCCTAGACTTTAGACAGAATTAACGTTCATGTAATTCATTAGTAAACAACCTACCATTAGGAGGGTCACGTCTTTTTTCTGCAAAATAAAATTAAGATAACTGTCATTACTAAATTCACTTAAAAATGGAAGGTTTATTAGTGAAAGAATTAGATTTAGCAGTGCAAGAGAGATGGGAGAGATGTTTAAATGCACAATCGTCTCCTTGTCCCGACAGAAGTTGCTGAGTCAGTCGACACACAGAGGGGAAGTGGTTAAAGAGAAGAATAATCAGAAGCAGACCGACACGAATAGACCCCTGCAGGTCCCACAGACATCAAAGAGCAGGATTCAGCAGAAACACACACACACACACTGGTTGAGTAGCCTTAGTTAAGAAGGAAAAAAAGAACTGGGAGCACAAAGGCATATAGTATGGATGCTTGTTTACGCCACTGAATACAAAAAATGAGACTTTTTACCTCACAATTGCGAGATATGAAGTCAGAATTCTGAGAAATAAAGTCACAGTTGCGAGAAAGACAGAATTGAGACTTTTTCATCTCACAATTATGACTTTACAACACATAATTGCGAGTTTATATCTTTATATCTTTTCTCAGAATTGTGAGATACTTGCAATTGTAAGTTATCAGGCCAATTCTACAGGAAAAAAAACCCCTCACAATTGCGACTTTACATCACGCGCAAATGCGACTTTAAATCACGCGCAAATACGACTTTACATCACGTGCAAATGCGACTTTACATCACGCGCAAATGCGACTTTAAATCACGCGCAAATGCGACTTTAAATCACGCGCAAATACGACTTTACATCACGCGCAAATACGACTTTACATCACGCGCAAATGCGATTTTACATCACGCGCAAATACGACTTTACATCACGCGCAAATGCGACTTTACATCATGCGCAAATACGACTTTACATCACGCGCAAATGCGACTTTAAATCACGCGCAAATACGACTTTACATCACGTGCAAATGCGACTTTACATCACGCGCAAATGCGACTTTAAATCACGCGCAAATGCGACTTTAAATCACGCGCAAATACGACTTTACATCACGCGCAAATACGACTTTACATCACGCGCAAATGCGATTTTACATCACGCGCAAATACGACTTTACATCACGCGCAAATGCGACTTTACATCATGCGCAAATACGACTTTACATCACGCGCAAATGCGACTTTACATCACGCGCAAATGCGACTTTACATCACGCGCAAATGCGACTTTACATCACGCGCAAATACGACTTTACATCACGCGCAAATACGACTTTACATCACGCGCAAATACGACTTTACATCACGCGCAAATACGACTTTACATCACACGCAAATGCGACTTTATGCGACTTTACATCACGCGCAAATGCGACTTTAAATCACGCGCAATTGCGACTTTACATCACGCGCAATTACGACTTTACATCACGCGCAAATGCGACTTTATGCGACTTTAAATCACGCGCAAATGCGACTTTACATCACGCGCAATTACGACTTTACATCACGCGCAAATGCGACTTTATGCGACTTTACATCTCGCGCAAATGCGACTTTAAATCACGCGCAAATGCGACTTTACATCACGCGCAATTACGACTTTACATCACGTGCAATTACGACTTTAAATCACGTGCAATTACGACTTTACATCACGCGCAATTACGACTTTACATCACGTGCAATTACGACTTTACATCACGCGCAAATGCGACTTTATGCGACTTTAAATCACGCGCAAATGCGACTTTACATCACGCGCAATTACGACTTTACATCACGCGCAAATGCGACTTTATGCGACTTTACATCTCGCGCAAATGCGACTTTACATCACGCGCAAATGCGACTTTACATCACGCGCAATTACGACTTTACATCACGCGCAAATGCGACTTTATGCGACTTTACATCTCGCGCAAATGCGACTTTAAATCACGCGCAAATGCGACTTTACATCACGCGCAATTACGACTTTACATCACGTGCAATTACGACTTTAAATCACGTGCAATTACGACTTTACATCACGCGCAATTACGACTTTACATCACGCGCAATTACGACTTTACATCACGTGCAATTACGACTTTACATCACGCGCAAATGCGACTTTATGCGACTTTAAATCACGCGCAAATGCGACTTTACATCACGCGCAATTACGACTTTACATCACGCGCAAATGCGACTTTATGCGACTTTACATCTCGCGCAAATGCGACTTTACATCACGCGCAAATGCGACTTTACATCACGCGCAATTACGACTTTACATCACGTGCAATTACGACTTTAAATCACGCGCAATTGCGACTTTACATCACGCGCAAATGCGACTTTACATCACGCGCAATTACGACTTTACATCACGCGCAATTACGACTTTACATCACGCGCAAATGCGACTTTACATCACGCGCAAATGCGACTTTACATCACGCGCAAATGCGACTTTACATCACGCGCAATTACGACTTTACATCACGCGCAATTACGACTTTACATCACGCGCAAATGCGACTTTACATCACGCGCAAATGCGACTTTACATCACGCGCAAATGCGACTTTACATCACGCGCAAATGCGACTTTACATCACGCGCAAATGCGACTTTAAATCACGCGCAAATGCGACTTTACATCACGCGCAAATGCGACTTTACATCACGCGCAAATGCGACTTTTCATCACACGCAAATGCGACTTTACATCACGCACAATTGCGACTTTACATCACGCAATTGTAAGATAAAGTCGCAATTACCTTTTATATTTTTCATTCTGTGGCGGAAACAAGCTTCCATAATACAGTGTTACAGAAAGAGTGATAGAAGTAGACAAAGGGGGAATCATGTCAAAAGAAAACCAGATGATGGTTTTTCCATCAGAGGGACACGAGTGAAGCGAAGGAGAGATACAGTTATGCTGTGCTGTTGTTGTATTTACCGGTTCTCCTCCCTCTTTTCACCAGAAGTTCATTTGCTGCAGACTTGAAGCGCTTGGCTTCCTCCTCGCTGGCAAAATTAAGACCGATCTGGGACGTCTGAGGACAAACACACATTAATATACACTCTGCTCGTGGTGAAGATTTCAGAAGAGTTAATCAAACAGATGTAACAAAATAATAAAAAAAAAAACATTCATTTTACATTTGTAATAAGCAGTTTAGGTTAAGGTTTAAGGTTTAGTAAAGTTAAGGTTTTTAGTTTAAAGTAGTTTAAAGTTTGAATGTTTTGAAGGCAATGCAGTCCATCAGAAGATAGATAGATAAAGATAGGCTGTGTTTGTATGTTGCTAGCATGATTTAACACATTGCTAGCATAAGCATGTTGCTAACATGACGTAACAAGTTGGTAAAAGGATTTAACACACTGCTAACATGATTAGCATGTTGCTAACATGATTTAGCACATTGTTACCATGACTTAACAAATTGCTAGATTCTTCATTTTCAGGAAAAACATACGTTGGATCAGTTTGAAAAGATATAGCAACTCAAGTCAGATCAGTCTGAAGCAAGTTTGGAGGTTCTTGCTAAAGCTCGAGCCACTAAACACTGTTGTCGTGCAAATGAACGGCCACATTAAAAGTTTTCTGTTTTCGGTTAAAGCGGTGCAGTGTTAGCGGTCCCTAAGTTAGTAACTAATCTAACGATCTTTGAATCAATCAAAACTAACTTAACCTGGACAATAACTTTATTCTGGAGCTGCTGTAAAGCCAAAACAATCTGTTAGTTTATTTTCCTATCATCACTGTAAAACGATATTGTTAAAAGCGCTATTTAAATGAAGGTGACTTGACTTGCCTTGACTATAGGAGTCAAAATAATACGTCTCGGAAGAATTATAAAGAGTTTAAATAGCATTTCAGTAAGTTGGCTCTCTCAAGCCAACTTAATGAGCAAAAAACTCATTACAAGGACTGAGAAGACTAACTTTTTTGGGAGGATAATGTGCATGGATGAAATCATGCACAATAATAGGACGAGAAGTATATAAACAAAGGAAACAGAGCCAATTTCAGTTTCACATTGACGTTATCTCCAGCTTCATCAGTCTATGGCTATGGCACATACCCTTACGTCTGCTGAGGTGAAGTACAAGTGTACAAAACAGACATGACACACACAAACGTTATGGATGCACAAGATCTGAGCACTTACGTCTCCAGCAAACGTGATAAAGTAAGGCCTGGAGCTGTTTATTGAAAAGTTGTTGTAGAGTTCTTGATCAAACAACACTTTACCCTCCTGTCGAAACAGAAAAAGAAACCATTTGCTTAATACCAAGATCAAGATTATACAAGAGGAATCATGAAATAGACACTTACTTTTATATCAAACACCCTGATAAAGTAAGATCTTAGAGGGCTGTCTTTCACCAGACATGCCACACCACAGCACTTCTTCACCCAGGACGAGTTCCTGTCGGCGACGTAGACTTGCACCACCCCTGAACACAAACTCTGCGGACACAAGGAGGAAACAATCAGCAATCTTGTATTATTTCAAATAAATCATAATAAACCCTAAACCTGTTTATGTAGGTCACATGATCTCATGGTGAAAACAGATGCCAAAGTATCACTTTCAGAATGAATTTCAAAAGGGACCAATCACGCCAAAAAACACCTTATTTTCCCCATTGTTGCGTCTGTCAGTCTCTATGAAGCCCCTCCTTCTGAAAAGCACACTATGCTCTGATTGGTCGGCTGGAGCAGTGTGTTGTGATTGGTCGAGAGCGTCGAGTGAGCTTGGGAAATGTCCCGCCCCTTTCCATAACCACCAGTTTAACACACTACTAACTAACTCAAACAGGCCCCGCCCCTTTATTCTGTGCATTAATTATTATAATGAGGAATATTGTGACGTGTTCGTTCCCAGGCGAAACTCAAGACTACAACGGAGGCGTTTCAGGGAGTTTAGAAACATCGACTGATATAGAGAATAACTCATACTGGAGGGAATTTTTCATGCTCAAAAAAAAAAAAAGCATATTTGGAGCTTTCAATTAAACATCCTTTAAAAAAACAAAAAAACAAAGACTTATTGTGAATGTGTCCAAATAGATACATAAATCCCATAAAAATGCTTTTTGGTTCTTGTTCAGTAGTCAATGTGCCATGATAAAGGTCACCAACAATTGGTCAATTTGGTCAACCTTTAATTTCATAAAGCTACCAGAAATTGTGTAGTTGAACCGCCCTGGACATCCGGGGTTACTCTGAGAAGGACGTGATTATAAAATGACTTTGACAGTCTCCTCACGAAGCTGCCGACTCTCAGACGAATCATGATGGGAATGAGGAACGCGGGTCACTATGCGCATTACCACTGGAGTCCAAGCTCTTGGCCAGTGGTGGAATGTAACGAAGTACAAATACTTCGTTACTTTACTTAAGTACATTTTTCACGTATCTTTACTTTACTTAAGTACAATAAATAGTGCATACTTTTTACTTTTACTTCGTTACATTTTGCAGCAATTATTATACTTTCTACTCCACTACATTTCTACAACTTCTGTTACATTTTCGTTACATTTTCCCCTGCCAAAACGTCATCTGACCGTCCGTTCGTTGCATGTTTGTCTCACCAGTGACGTTTGGTTGCCATAGATACAGTATATCAACCCGGTCACACTAAATGCGTCTGGCACGCAGTGTGTTTATCATGCAACTCATACGCGAAATTGTTTTTACGTGCATAGGAAACGCACCGTGTGTAATATGTTTGGTTTGGTTAGGATTATGGCAAGCCAAGAGGTTCAGAATTACACCATAAATGAATCGCGTTTACTGCCAAACATAGTTATTAACATATAGTAAGGATAAGCATGATATTGCCTAATTGCAAGCTTGTTTCAGTAATGGTGACATTTTTTTCCATCATTATTGAACATCATTATAGGAGTAGGCTATTAGGTTGAATGAGTTAGAATTAAATGTTTTATTAATCATTAGAAAATAGACATTAAGATAATAAATTGTTATGCAAGTACTTTTACTTTTAATACTTAAAGTACATTTAAAATAAAGTACTTTGTACTTTTTACTTAAGTATGGTTGTCATTGTGTTACTTCTACTTTTACTAAAGTAAATATTTATCTGGGTATTTGTACTTTTACTTAAGTACTGAGATTCAGTACTTCCTCCACCACTGCTCTTGGCTTTATTTAGGTTGCAAATAAAGTTGTTGCTGAAGTGTAAATGTGGGCGGGCGTATGTTAATGAGCTCTTGGTTGTGAGGTCTATTCCATTACACTTTCTGAGTGATTCGTTTTTGCAGTTTAGTTTTAACAGAAGGTCTGGACACGGGGAGGAAACTCAGAAAAGTGAAAGTCCAAATCCTCCTTTCCAAGATATGCCGCCTTTAAAAGGAAAAACAAGGATACACCCGAGTTCACAAATCAATAGTCTGACCCGAGATGAACCATCTGCGAGGAATCAGAACCAAATATCCAGTGAACATTTCCTCCTGAAAACTGTGCGACAGTCACACTTCCGAGCACTTTTAAGTGAATAGCTGCAAAATGCATGAAGACGTTCTCGCCAAACAGCCACTTTAGGGAATTAATGATCAGCATCGGTCTCAGGACGGCCCAGATGATTTACATAAAGCGCAGAGCGGCCCACCAAAGCCAGAGAGTCCTGCCAGGATGAAGCCACGCCACACATCTTAACAACCCACCGAACTGTTACAGAGACACTCAACGCCTCCATTAACCACACGATACAAGCCAGAGGAAGGCTTACAGACAGAGACAGAGACAGAGCGAGAGGGTCTCCTGCGCTCTCATTGGCCGAACAAAGCTGCCGCCCATTATCAGTTCATTCAAGTCATTACTCAAACTCGGAGGCATTTATCCGAACCAACAGCATGTCTCGCAGTGTATCGCTCATCATCAGCTGCAGTTAATGGAAGAAATCTGCTGACATAGCGCACATGCACTGCGATGACATCACTGATGATGTACCTGAAGGAAAGAGCTGTGATTGTGAATGCTCCGGTTATGCATCAAATAAATCATTTTATTCAGTGAAGAGGCATTAAAGTGACTATGATGTCACCAATTCCCTATTTCAAATAAACCACGATGTAACAATCATAAATGTTTCTTGAGCAGAAAATCATCATATTAGAGTGATTTCTCAACACTGAAGACCGAGTAATGATGCTGTATATCAAATATTTACATTTATATATAAATATGACATATTAATAACACATTTTTCTTAAATATACACATGCATGTGTGTGTATTTAATTTACACACTACACACATATATTATGTAAACACAAACTTTTATTTTGGATGCGATTAATCGTGATTTATCATTTCACAGCCTTAATAAAAAGTAATAAATGAAAGTAATAACATATGCAAAACATGATGAAACACATTTTAAAGCCTTGCTGTTGAACATTTTTTCTCATGCTGTTTATTCTCATACGCTCTTCATACCAATCGTGTTTTATTGTGCTTAAAGCTAAGGTTTACATAAACACAGACCGTTGTGTGTTAAGTGAACAAACGGTCGGTGGAAAACCGGATGCGTGTCTGTATATTAAACCCGTGCATGAGGTCTTAAAGTGACAGCAGCCTAATAAACCTGCGGCCAATCGTAGCTAATGTTAAAAAACAACAACGAAAGACAAAAATATAAATCACTTACTGCTCTGAAGTTACTGAATAAGTTTAGTAGCATTAATAATAATATATATAATTTTTACAGTTAAGTCTAATTTATTTAACTTCTTGTTAATTACTGTCAAACACACCAATTTTATTTCATTTATATGTTTATTTGTTCTTATTTTTAACAAAGATAAAATAATGAAAAAGATTTTCATCTTTGCTAACCCCTACTTTGGCCTAATAGTTTTTTTATTTTATATTTTGCCCCCTTTTTTAAAACGGGTAAATTAGTTTGGCTGTACTGCCGAGTCACTTGCAAAATAGTAAAACCAACATGAAAAATTGTGATTAAAATGGTGATATGATATTTCTGCCATATCACCCAACACTATACTGAAGACAAAGGTCAAAGTTGAAGAATCCACCATTAACACACGTCTATGACCCTGCTATTACTTAATGCTATGCATTACAGACTGAAACAGAGATAAGGCTGAAAAATTGTGATTTTAGCTGTCCTAACTTCACAGAAACCTGGCCAGCAGGAATTACCAGAGAGGACTGGTTCTCCAACAACCCACATACGACCAGAACCAGCAGGAGAACCAGCAAGGCCCGGCGTACCGCATCCTCAGGCTGATAGAAAAACTAATGCTAGCTCTCTAACTAGCTGACACAACGCTAACAAAAAATAGATGAGTTTGACGTGTCAGCTCGTGGTTCTGTGATTCAGAGCATATTCAACTCCTCAGAGGAGATATGTGGACAAACACAGCCACTTCAATCATGCCATGACACGCCGCTTGAATTTAAAAAGGCTTGCAACATAAAAATCATGAATAAATGTCAACAAGGTGATGAAGCCCCTGGGATGCATTGATATTGCAAAGCGCATGATAAGCACAGCAATGTCACCGTCCAACGCCGCTAGGAATGTGAAGCATTCAGGGACCCGTGTCATGCAAGAGAAACAGGGAATCTCGGGCGGCAGGTCCTGGTTCCCGTTTCACACAGAGGAACGAGGACCTTTGGAAAGCTTCGGTTTTGTTATCCAGTCAACATGAGTTTCATCTTGTAGGAACAGAACAGGTAATCCAGTGGAATGAGGAAACAGACGTGCATTCAGACAGCATGATGATTACACTGAAAACTTCAGATCAATGCATAATAATGATAGAAGGTGCAACTTATGTTTATCAAGAACTTGATTAACTATCATTTTCGTTTTCCTAACATTAGTTCCAAAATGTAAAAATTTTGAGTTAAATTGGTTTTAAAAAATGTGCAATTGCATACATTAAGTTGTATTATGTATAGCAATCTGCTCTCTATAAATTTATGGGTCAATTAATTCCAACCGATTCCTATACTTTCCCAATCTTCAATATTTTGCAATGACAGTTTCCTCTACAAAACAGTTATGAAAGCTGGGTGAGTGATCATTGCATGCATTGCATAGCATGGTTGGACATGCAGAGGTAAACTGTGCGTTTTACTGTGAAATCTGAAGGAGGAAGAGTGTGTGAGCTGCTGTCAGGTGTTTATCAGCCATAAAGATAAAAGGAAAGTGCCAATATGACATGAACTATATATCAAGTGTACCTGGTTACGTATCATTAAACGAGACTAACCACTGATGCAAAACATGCACTTTATAAGAAGAACCAGAGTTATAGAGATAAAATGTGGGTTTATACTTCAGGTGAAAGCAGCTGTCGTCATATATTATGACGTGGGTCGTCATCATCATCATCATCATCATACAGTGTTTGCATTAAAAACCCATGATCTAAAAGTACACTCTCACAAGGCCCATGAGCTCACCTGAAACTTTCAAAACATTGACCGAGAAACACTAATGACTGTGGATCTCCTGTTAAACTCGTCAACAGGATACAGTGGATCTTTACAATTATACATTGATGATTCAATGGATTCATCAGTGAAACATTCATCATATCAGTTCGAGTTCAGAACATGATGACTGAAAACTACCTGGCAAACAAACCAAGCAAATGCTTGAGAGAACTTACGGTGCATTTCTTGCCCAGATGGCTGAAGAGCACTTCGTTTTCTTGGTGTGTGAGAAGAATGGAGCCGATGTTCATCGGAGGCCTCCTGGCTGAAGGCGGACCACTCATTTTGACAATCCGATGGTGTGAACTTGTGATCAGGAAGTGTTAAACAGAAAATATGTGTTCATTGATCTTTGATCACCGCAGCTTGTATCCGGAGCCTTTCATATCCAGACCTGAGTGTGTTTCGGCCGGGAATTGGTTGAGAGAAGTCCTGCGTCTCACAAATAAGAAGCGATCCTCGTATGGTTATCCAGTGTCGTCTTGAGCCTCTAAACTTTCATCTGAACTCCTGTGCACCGAGCTTTCGATCCAACATGGCAGTGCCACCGCTGCGCATGACAGTGAGACGCAGCGGATTACCATCCCTACTATGGCGAAAGCTGAGCTTATGAATATTAATGAGATGGCGTGGCGTTCAATGAGAGAACAGAATTGATTGGCTGATGAACGCGGGCGGTAGTCAGTTAGCGAATCAGAGCGCTTAATGGGCGTGGCTTGTGAATGTGGAATAAATAATGTGCCTAGACGCTCCGGGAAGGTTACCAGGCAACGCCAGCATGAGAGATGAATTAACCATTAACGAAGCCCTCGCTATAGTAGGATATGGTCGTGTTTACTCTGCGTATAATGTTAAAGAGTCTGCATTTAAACGCTTGAAGTAAAAATATGTGTGGGTTGTTAGACAGCTGTAGCCTTACAAATCGCATTCAAGGCATTATTGACAGATGAAAATGCCGTTTCAGAGAGGAACGCTGTGTGGGCGGAGTCATGACGTGGTGTGAAGTTTGGGATTTTTTTATTGAATGTAGGCTAATTTTTGCTAAATATATATATTAATATAAATATGTGTGTATATGTATACATATAGGCCTGCTGTGTGTGTGTGTGTGTGTGTATATATATATATATAAAAAGAAGAGGACATTGTTGACAACAATAAGCCAAGTTGGAAGGTTAATCAGAGGATGCACACTTGGCACATAAAGTACAGGCCAAGAGAGGGAACAATTAAAATAACAATGGCTCCTAATTAAAATTAGCCATCTGAACTTCATCTGGCCCTTTTGCTCTGACGGCCTGACTACTGCTCTAATCAGCAGTGTATTCAAATATGTCAAAGAACAACAAAAGGTGGATATGACCTCTGATTTGGATATAGTATTTGATGCAATAACCCATATATATAATGGACTTGTTCTTTAGTATTAGGTAATATCTTGACGTCATGTACTTGATGTACATATGATAGGTGAGTTAAGTTATTCGCAGAAACTCGTCAGCTATGTTGACTGCTTCATCACAACACTTGTGAATGTTTTGCGTGTAAGAAAATGTGGGGGAAATATTTGCTGCTGATTACACTTATGAGTATTTCCAGTCGCAGCTTGAAGGTAGTCACTCCCAAACATGGTTGAGCTGTGAGGTAAATAGACAGAAACCTGAAAAACCAGTTAGAGAGAGAGAGAGAGAGAGAGAGAAAGAGAGAGAGAGTCAGTGGGTCACTAGTAGACAAATCTGAATATGCCAAAAGAAAAGTCATGACAATACATATTCATTACATAAAAAAAAAAACATATGCAAATCATTCACTGTTAACTCAGCATCACACTGACGTTTATTACGCAATGTACTATATAAACGGATAATCAGAAATCATAATAACCGCAGATGTCCATACTCTTGTGTTTTTTATTCCCCTTGGAAATCTCCATTTGTAGTATTTTTGTCTCTCACCTTCGCATGTTTGTGGGATGATTCTGGTCAAGCATAATATTTTCTCTTCGGTGTAAATGCTGACAACCGACGGTCTTGGCCGGAGAAAGCTGAATGTGCTCTTCTGAATTACAGCAGTATTAGATTATGCAGCAAGTATGCTTATGAAGAACAGCTGTTTCTACACAAAAGTCTACTGTCCAGCACATGCACACACACACACACACACACACACACACACACACACACACACACACACACACTCACTCAGCATTCATGCCGAAAGCAGAAATGCATGTTATTTTAACTCCAAAATCATCAGTGTTAACACAGCTTTGGAGAACATACACATCTCTGCTGACTGTTTTTACTCCAGATTCAATATTTATAACTGTGCAGATATTGAGTTCAGAAATCATACATCATTTAAACAGCATTAAATCAGATTAAACTGGTTCTGTAAGGCTAAGAAGGTCAATCCTTGTCCAGCAGAGTTGCTTATGTCTCCTGCAGATGTGTGAGGGAAGCGTCTGGAGTTATGTGGTGTGTGTTGTGTTGCTCTGGTGCTTCTCCTGCAACTCTTAAAGGGAAATCAAATAAAAAAGAGGACAAAGGATCAGAGAAACAGGAGACTTCATGCTTTTCTGGAAGATGAAGACACAGAAGATGTAGAGCTGATGTTACTGGACTGGTTGACAAGAGGAGAACATGTGTGTGTCTGAGAGCAGCTGTGTGTTTGCCACACACACACACACACACACATGGCTGGTTTATACAGGCCTGGAGGAAGTAACGCGTCAAGAGAAATCCCAGAATGCCCACAGAACAAAACTAATTGTTTATATAACAAAGAATAATTATAATAGTGAGAAAGATGACGACGGAAAGCCCATTTTCATAAATTTTTTGCTAAATCATCATGACCTTAAAAGGCGTAGCTATGAAATAAAAGTCGGAAATATGAGATAAAAAGTTTAAATTATAAGTTAACATCATCATAATAATAATTTTATGTCAAATTATAATATATTACATCATAAGATAAAGTCAAAATTATGAGATAAAGTCATAAGTGACAGCTGAAATTATAAGACAAAAAGTAAAAAAAAGAGTCACAATTATATGACATCAAAATATGGAACGAAAAGTTAAAATATAAGATAACATTTTAACTGCATAATTATGGCTATAACAAAATAATAAAGTTTATGAAAATTATGAAAAATAGAGATATAAAAATATTAGATAAAAAGTTGATAAAAAGTCAAAATGATGAATGTCTTTCAAGTTGAAATTCAAAGCTCATAGTTATGAATATGTTGTCTTCTTTATCTCATAATTGACTTCTTAGGATCTTTACCTTTCACATTTTAAACATCCAAGGAATAAAATGTGATTCTCTCATTCAGACATGGCCGAAGATCCCCACTAAACAAGACTTTTTGTTGTTGTTGTTGAACAAATATAGGCCTAACCGTAATATATAGTTATATCTCAAAACATAATTAAACAACAGCAACAACATAATAATAAACAGTAAGAAAAAAAGATAGTAAAAGCAAGTAAGAACTAAACAAGACTTCGCTCTCAGTATGTGAAGCATCATCATATTCCCGAGGCAGGCGCGGTCACGAGGATTTGAACACCGCCACTGTTTACACTGATGTCACATCCGGGAAATCAGCATAGCGTGGCAGAAATATTTGGCAGTTAAACCATTTCCCGCACAGCTGACAGCATCATCACTGGCTAAATATTTACCTAAAGTTGTCAGCACTGCACTACAGTGAAGTGTTCGTCCTCAGTGTTTACTAGGCTGTAATTCTCCTCTTGTCCTCTGGGCGGCGATGCACACTATAACATTTTTCACAAATAACAATTTCAATCATATTCACCAGGAGCTAATATAAACGAACAAGAGTGACGATTCAATGTTTGATGGAGTCGACATGAATCATAATGGCCAGAATTAAAGAAAAGGGCAGTTAAGCCACTCTTTTGCATACTACACAAATTCAAACAAATGTACTAAAGGTGTGGCGCCATCTTATGGGTATTGTGAAATGTAAATAGGCTACCTTAAAGTCATGCAGTATTAATGTCAAGAAGACTTCATTCACGACGTTTCCCCCTTTAAACATATATAAAATTAGGTAGCCTAGCTAGAAAACACCTAATAGACCTGTAGTCCTGTTGATAAAAGTTCTTATTTGACAATAAAATGACATATTTAAGTAGCCTATTTATGTATTTTAAATAAGCTAGACAAAATATAATCTCTCAAAGCATTTAGTCACAAATTATACCTGATAATTTTCTATCATGCTAAATAGAAATAAAAAAAATACACTGTAAAAATAAAAGTTGCTGCTTACATTTTTAAGTACAATCAACTTGGACGTTTAAGTCATTTCAACTTAAATGACATTAACACTGACTTTTGTTGAATATTTAGTTGAATATTTTATAACTTGTAAGCAATGTAAAAAAAATGTCATAACTTATTGAGATATATATATATATATATATATATATATATATATATTATTTTAATTAAAAAAAGTTTAAAATTGTCTGCCAATGAAATAATGTTTGTTTCTGTTTGAATTAATATATATATATATATATATATATATTTACCCGGTTGGCATCAGATAATTTTGCTTTTTTAAGCATCCTCACTTAATTTTTATTAATTTCCCCAGACAACAACACACAATATCTTGTGTCATTTTATTCATCTAGTAAATGCATCTTAAGAGTTTTGAGATATTTGGTCTGGAAACAAACAAGACAAAAATATTAAAGCATTTTTGGTGTGTAGGCTATATATCTCAAGTCATACAACAGATCCAGGATAAGATTGAAACGTGCTCTTGTTATGTATGTCAGGCTGAACATGTGCCGACTGCATGTCGGATGCTAAATGCTGGTCCGAGTGCTCGAATGAAGAGACTTTAGGAGCGCCGCCGGAGGTTAAAGAGGTCTGAGGTTACAGGTCCATTATTCTGAGCACGTTACAAGGGGTTTGGTTTCAGGATGACCTTCCCTCTGTGCTCGTCTTCAGGGGTTCTGGGGGCCGGCGATGACAACAATGACAAGATACTGAAACTTAATCAGACAACAACTGCACCACATACCCAGAAAGTCTAAAGTACTTAGATAATTAGCTAGCAAGTAATTTTGTGTTTAAAAGACCAATAGCTGTCCGAACACAGCCCTGCCGTCTAGGCTAAAACAAGGCAAAATTTGGACTGTCAGTGAAAATTTATAGTTTACTTTAAAAAAAAAAACTTTTGCTGATAATTTACTCACCCCCATGTCATCCAAGATGTCCATGTCTTTCTTTCTTCAGTCAAAAAGAAATTAAGGTTTTTGATGAAAACATTCCAGGATTTTTCTCCATATATAACATGGACTTCAATGGGAACCAAACGGTTCAAGGTCCAAAAGACAGTTTCAGTGCAAACTACAAACTGTTCAAAGGGCTTTAAACGATTCCAGACGATGATTAAGGGTCTTATCAAGTGAAACGATCGGTCTTTTTTTTTTTTTTTTTTTTTTTAAGTACGTTTTATAAGCTCAAATGGCCGCCTTGCGTATTCGTGACTCTCCTATTCGTACTCGTTTATCGAAATGAACAACTATTTTTTCGTGTCATTTGGTTCATTCAACAAAAAGATCGGGAAAAGATTAGTTCATTTAGATGAACGAGTTCAAATAGCAGAGTTCAAATCTAAATATTTCCCCCCTTTTGATTATAGCACAAATATGATTTGTGAGAGGTTTTGCAAGATTCACCGTTTCTGAAGAGTCACGTTTGTTATTGATGGGTCGGTTACTTTAAACCATTGGTAAATGAGTAACACGAATACATAACAGTTCCTCTTATCAACTTCTGATCGAGTGAGACGAGAGCAGCTGCGTGTGCCACAACTTGAAATATCATGTAAATGTTTCAATAAAACATGTAAATGTTGTGTTTGGGAGTTGAGAGTGAGAAGTGCTGCATTTGGCACCTCTGAGAAACACTTCGTAAAGCATCCTTTCATTACCGACTGAAGCCATTTCTAAACAAATTACTAATGATTCACAAGGGAAGAAACTGATTCATGCACCCTGCTCATTAATGAACCGCAGATGTTTTAAACTCGGGCTGAAAGAGCGAGGGCATTTAGTTAAGCCCTGTTAAACACTAAAGCGGATTAAAGCAGAGTTGCTGCTTTATGCTCTACTTAAGAAAATGTCCTTAGACAAACCTTGAGTAGGCCTAGTAGCCATGCATTTTTTTTCTTTTGATCTTAGGAAAAATTTCACATGTTAACAATGACGCATTGCAACTATAAAATGCCCTTTTATTAAGACCTAAATTAGTTTTCAGGCTACTAGCAGGTTTTCATGCTCGAATGTTGATTATTTTCCTCATATTCTCCATTGTTGCGGCTCCTCTCTTCCCAGTCTGTCAGTAACGCTCTGTTTACTTCCTGTCTCTATGAAGCCCCTCCTTCTGTGCTCTGATTGGTCGGCTGGAGCAGTGTGTTGTCATTGGTCAAGCCCTTCAAGCGTGTTTGGGAAATGTCCTGCCCCTTTCCATAACCGCTGCTGCATCCCAATTTGCATAATCTCCATCCTAAATAGTATTCAAAACTAGAATTGTTTTGAACAACACCAGAATCACTGAAGGGACGAGTCATCATTATGGTGATCGGTGTTTGCTTTAGTTGAGCTCTTGAACTATTCAAAAACTATTTAACTAGTTCTTAGTTGTTAAAAAAACTACAAACATGGCGGATGAGCGAGTCTGACAGTTAAGAAGAGAGGTTAAGATATATGATTTTGAGAGATTAATAATCAGTATCCTGACGAAAAGATATTTATTCAGTGTTATCCATATTATATTTGATCTGCAACAGCTTTGTGAATATCTGTAATGATACGTTTGGTCATTAACTTTTAGATGCATTATTATGCAAACACAATGAGAAGAGTCTCCGCATGAAAGACCACGACTGGTAGATCAAAGTGCGGCTTCATATCTCTCCAAAATGGTAGGAAATTAAATTAAATTGAATGTGGAGAATTTTAAATGTGACCAGATGATTGACAGGAACATGTAACTAAGCAACAGAGCGATCAAAGATGCGATTATGACGAAGTTTGGCCCAAACTTGCCTACACTCAAAAGTATGTATGTTTTCTTGACAAATACTACATATTTTTAGGGCATAGTATAAGTAGGCGAATTGGGATGCAGTTCCGACACACTAACTAACTAACTAGGCCCCGCCCTTTTTTCTATGTATTAATTATTTAAATGAAGAATATTGTGATGTGTTCGTTCCCGGAAAACTCAAGACTACAATGGAGGCGTTTCAGGGAGAAACACTGACACTGATATAGAGAATAACTCTCTTTTTCATGCTCAAACAGCAACAACACACACTAAAGAGATGGACACATCAAGGTCTGAAATCGCAACAAATCGAGACGTTCGGTCAGAATACAGACACAATCACATTAAGTTGATCATCTCTTACAGTTGGGTCTTGTTGAGTCTCACGGGACGACGTTGACGTCAGAAATGGAAAGCATTCAAGTCCCTTCAGTAACAGCCCTGAGAACAGTCACTGCAACAACAGATCAAACACACACACGTCACATTTCATCTTTTTAATTTGATCAGTGGAATGAGAAACCATGAAGATGTGCTACAATAATGATAAAAAAGAAGTGCATTAAATGATTTCTATCATTCTAGACTCAGACTAACATTCATAAAGTGATCTAGCTGTAGTGCCAATTACATAGACAGACATGAAAATGATAATAATCACCATCTCATTCCTGGAATTATACAAAGTGTTTTTTTTTCTCTCTCTTAAAGTACAAAAGTGTTCATTTGAGCAGCTGCCGAGAGTCTTTACATCAACATGCATGAAGGAAACACATTTGAATAATCTTATAATCATAGAAAGCCCGTCTATTCCTCTCACAGGAGGACTTCGCTAAAGTCACAGAGTTTTGAGGCTGAAGTTATTAAACTTTGGCAGTTTATCTTTGAATCTTTTTCACAAAGAAAGAGCAACACACAAGATATACGGATAAACTCAGTCATAAAGTTATCATCACTCACAGTAGTTATTCACAGTGTGCGGCGCTCATATGTTTAATAAAGTTGGATAAAGTCTCTGTTTGTGTTCATAAATGCCCGGCTTTAGCTGCCATAGGGGTCTCTAAAGTTAAACTGTGTGTTTTCTTTATTCCTCATATCGTCTTCATCTCAACGCCTTGTTTTCACAGAAGACAAACTGAGATATGACTGAACTCGTTTCCATATGGGTGTAATAGTTCTGGATTACTGAAGTCCAGCTGCCTAAAAGTGTTCATATGAAGGCACTCGGTTGCTCTCGTCCTGTTTAAAGCTAAAGAAGTCTCAGTTTATCTCTCACAATCACTTTTGCTACGGCTTGCACCATCAGATGCTTGAATCTCGACATGCAAAAACTGTCCTCATAAACCCTATCAGTAATAGCAGTAAACCAATCACACACTCAATAACCATCAAAGCCCAGTGTTATTTGTCAAATCCTGCTGTGTGTGTGTGTAATTGGCAGTTGATAAGGTGGATTTTAAACACTAATTAACGCTGCTAATGCAGCTACTGTACGCTTGTTTCTCTGAGGAAACGTAGTATCTCTAAGGGTTTCTCAGCCTCGCTGGTACAAATGTGCCCCTGAGAACCAGCGATTTACCTGTGTGTATCTGGCCTTGTGTGCACATCCTGGGCTTTTCGGAGATTTCAAATGGCCATGAAGGTGATATATATGATATAAAAATTATATCATATGACATTTAAAAATTAAATATCATTTAAATAGAGTGGGGAGAATCGAGAAACTGTCATACGAGGAACTTCAACAACTCATGGCGTCAGATCGATTAACCACATCTTTCATAAAAGTTTGTTATATAATGTGTGTGTGTGTGTATATATATTTATATATATGACACACACAAACATGTATATAATATACTGTAGGTTTTTTGTTAGTTGTGATTAATCGATTTGACAGCCCTATATATATATGAAGAGTTCAGATGCAAAAGCCTCTAAGTGCCATTTGAAATTTTCTTCTAGAATGATCATTTTTATCAAACTTGTATATTTAAGTTCAGTAATTTCACTTAAATGGCAATGATAATTACATATTAATTGTTTTTTAAGTGAAATTACTGAACTTAAATATACAAGTTTGATAAAAATCATCATTAAAGAAGAAAATTTAAAATGGCATTTGGCTTTTGCATCTGAACTCTTCATATATATATATATATATATATATATATATATATCCTGCAAGCAAAAAAAATTACACATAATATTTGATAAAGTTGTCACTTTTTTTCAGGGTAAGCTGTCATGTAAAATGTTGCAATTTTAAATAATTAATTGTATTATTATTATTCATTTTAATTATTAATTCATATATTATACTAAGCAATAAAATATTAATTTATAACAATTATAATGACTATAAAATTAATAATATACTATATATAGCATATTTAATTATATATGTCTGTTAGCTTACTCATTTTTATGGTTTCATGATTTTTTTTTCAATTATTTGACTATTTAAATTGATTGCCTAGAAGTCAGGTTCACACCCCATGCAGTGTGACAACATGCCCCGTTTAAAAGAATAGCTTTATGGTGTGTGTCTATACAGAAACTGACTCTCAAAACTAGTTAATCACTAGAATAACAGCTATAGCCTGGCCTCCCCTATAGTAGTCAACATTTAGATCAAAACTTATTCCCGTTCCCGTACTTTTCATGAGCTTTTTTGATCCACTTCAAATGTTGACTGTATATTATTAGTAATAAAAAAGTTCTCAAACATCAAACATTCAAATGCCTTTTTTCCCTAGTCCAACATCATGCAATCTGTCCTCGTCATCACCACACACAACCCTCATCAGAATATTAGACAAGACGTCTTGATACAGACTCAGACAAACCCATCCAGGAAGATACAGCAAGGTCACCAGTCCCATGAAATTAAGGGGATAATGGGAATAATCCCAGGAACATGCGCCGAAGAGCCTGAGAGCGAAGCCCCAGCTGAACTCCCAGGCGTAGATGAAGCAGATGTAGATGGGAAGCCTCCGCCAGGTTCTCCATCCTCTCCTGAAGTGCAGGTGCAGGTAAAGCTTCTCCACCACGAAGCTGCAGCTTCCATACATGAAGAAGGACCACAGGGACGTGTGACCCTTCAAGGTCCGGTCCTCTTTCTCGAACAGATTAAACACAGAAGTGAAGACCACCTCATCCAGAAAGCCGTGCATCCCGAAGAACACGAAGCGCAGGAGTCCGGGTAACCCGCTCGCGCGCACCCCGTTCTCCTGATACTGCAGGTGCAACACGCCTTTATGAAAGATGTTTGAGAAGTATAACGCGAGCATGTAATGCACCACGAGCTGCGTGAGCGACACCACTCTGATGTTCTCCGTGCAGGTCACCAGATTCCCGATTAAAATCTGCAGGCAGATGTATAGCGACGGGTAGAAGACGAGGTGGAAAACGACCGGGCGCCCGTGGAAGCATCTCTTCTGCTGGTAGATCTTCTCCAGGAGCAGATGCGTGACGGAGTGCGCGATGCACAGGTACGGAGAGGAGAAACCCAGCAGTGTGAGGTCGTGTTCGTCCAGAAAGTGGCGCGCGGAGGACAGAAGGATGTCCAGTGTGACTCCGTGCATCCCGTAGAAATACATGCGCATCCACTGCGGTAAAGCGCGTGCTGTGTCGCGCGCCCCCGGGCTCGTCGTCGTCATCATCATCATATCTCTCCTTAAAACACACTCAGATGTCGACGCGTCTTTTTCTTAAAGGCCATTTGAGTCGCCGGTGACCCGCTGCAGCCCCGCGAAGGCACACGATCTCACTGACCGCATTCTTGCTCTATCATTGGAAGGAGCGGAATGAGAAGAGAAGAAAATACAGAGACGTAATGACACCCTCCGCCAGGTGGCGCTGTCCTACACATCCGACTGTACAACGTCCCCAAAGTGCTGAATAGGCTACGCATCATAGCCTACAATTCTTCACAACAACACAATAATATATTAATTATATATTGTTTTATTGTATTATATATTAGGCTATATTGTTTGGTTATTTGTTTTATTTTTGCATTGGTTATTTTTTTTAAATAAAGGAAATATATTATATATATATTTTTATGTAAGTTTTTTTTATAAACGTTATTTTTATGTTATATCTTATTACAATTATTTTATTGTGAAATATTATTTTTTTGTTGTTTATAATAATGTTTAATAATATTTATTATGTTTTGTATTTTTATTTTATAAATATTAAATATATAGCCTATATTTACATTAAACTATATAAGCTTAATTAAAAACATTTAGATATATTATAGGCCATATAACTTTATTCATGCTACTTTATAAATGTATATTTTTATGGTAAATGTTATTATGGATAAATATATTATTTATAAATAATTATATCTAACTACTGAAATGTATTGTTAAATATTATTTTACTTTTTATAATACTTTTTAATAATACTTTTTAAATTATTTATATAATATTTAGTAATTCTCTCTCTCTCCTACTCTCACTAAATGTATTACAATCCTTACCATAGAAAGGACCCTTGGGTTTCTGAAGTAATCTCTCTCTTCGGGACTTGACATTGGTCGATTTAAAACTCAATTCCCTGTCAGGACAAGTCGAATTTCATTCATATTTAAAACCCTTATAGTAAAGTGTAATTCGACACACAGATTAGAAACAGTGTTACAAGAGTTATATGTACACTACTTGATTAAGCGTTATTTTAAATTCCACATATAGGCCTAGAATGTTTGCGTAATTGTTGTAAAATCTAAAGCAATAAAATGCCACAGTGAGGCTGGAGCTCTTGACTCTCCTGCATGACTGAACAACATCACACACACACACACACACACACACACACACACACACACACACACACACACACACACACACACACACACACACACACACACACACACACACACACACACACACACACACACACACACACTATCATCTCAGTTCTCGGTTCTCCTCTGCTGCGTTTGGAGGTGACAGATTAGCTCAGAGAATCCAGCGCGTTATCTATGAGAGACACAGCAATAACACACACAAGTGCTCAGAGGCTCCATATCAGAAGTCACACAGACAAAAAAAAAATTTTTTTTTTTTTTTTAAAAAGTCACACCAACAGACATCAAACAACTATATCCAACACAAACATGTACAAATTGTTAAATATCTATTTAGTCATTTACTGTTAACTGTGAAACACATCATAAGATTGGCAGCTGTAATGTTTAAGGGAAGTTCTGTTTTATTAAAAAACTAATTTCTCAAATGTATACTATATTTCATTGGCCGAGCTGCAGTTCTTCAAAGCGACACTAGATGGAAGCAAAGCGCGTTTTAACTCGTTGTAAAGTCATGATGCATCTTTTGCCCTTAGGAAAGAAACAATAATTTAATGTGAATGGCACATTATCAGCATGCTGGTGCATGACATCGTTCAGAACATTACAGCAAAGCTCAAAGCAATAAATCGCTTTCATTTAACCCAGCATGGCCACCGCAGTTCAGATTAGCATCAAATGTTCACCATTATCAAATCTCAATTCACCCAAAACATCACTAATGTAGCCTATTATGAGATTTATTTTTTCCTAATGCAAGTCACTGGGTGTTTGGATAGTGTGTGTGTTCACTTACACTAATGTTATCCGCTGTAATCACTATATCAAATAAGCCTTTCATTTGTGTTTCGATTCAAATTTGCCGTGTCCCTAGTTTTAAATCCCGCCGTTTTTAAAATGTTTTAAATCCCCATGTAGTCAATAATTGTATATCTTTGATAAATACAATTACATATTTAAACGTTTATTTCTTTGAAAAAATTTCGTCATGCCTTAAAATATCTTGATTGTAACCCGACACTCTTTCCTCATTTAGTATTCGCGGTTCTATGAATATGCAAATGAGCCCCGCCTCCACTCAATCACTCGCTGACGATCACACGTTGATCTGATAGGAAGGTAGTTTGTGACGTCAGAAACACCAGCGATTTTAAACTGGGTTTTTGAGACTGTCTTTGGTTCACTGCAGTTTTAAAGAGGAAATACTCAGGAATGCTGTCGACTTATCAATTTACACATGGTTTGTCTTAAAGCATATTAAAAACACCACATAGACATATAAACTGGATTTTTTACCACAGGGGGACTTTAAAAAGGGCAGATTTCTGCGAAAATGTGAATCTGTGAACATGTTACATGCAGATGCACGGCGTCACTGTTTGCACAACTTCATTTTTTTTTTTTTTAGTTTACATGTAAAGATGACAGTAAAGGCATCATTGTCTTGTAAATGAATTCATTAGCCGCTAAATGAATTCATTTCAATTCATTAGCCGCTAAATACCTAAGAATAATAAAATCCCTACAAACAAGTGTGTTTATAATTACGACAATTAATAAAAATAATATTTTAAGAAATACCAGTTTGGAATATCAATTAGCATAACGAGCCGTTTTGTAAAGCTAAAATTAGGCTAGCAAATGTGTACACCCTTTATTTTTCCGGGTAAAACGCTTCTCAAACAAGAACAAATGTGGGCGGGGCTTGCTTTTGTCTGTGCGGAATTGATTGGCCAGTTATGGTTTACAATTGGCTGATGTCATGTGAGTGATAGGTTAAGCCCCGCCCCATCAGCAGAGAAGAGATGATGTCACTGCAAGTGGAGGGGAAGATGTTCTGATTAAAAATGGAGAGGAACATGAATTTAAACAAATAATTCCGTGCACAGATAAATCGTTCATAATAAATATTGCAATATTCAATACAAAATAAGAACTGGTTACTAGACAGTAGTCATATGGCTCTAGATGACTGATGTCGTCATCTGTTCAGGTCAGTGAAAAAGATGAACTCACTCCATGCACGATTTTAATAGATATCTAAAAATGTAATCTCAGATCCCATTTCCTCCAATTTGCGGCGCTTATTGGGTTGAGACTCTGCGTGTGTTCAGTGTCAGTCGGGTCACGTGTGTGTGTGTGTGTGTGTGTCCCACGAGGAGACTCACTCTTGTTTACAGTTGCTGGGTTTCATTAGGTATTCCCTTCACTACACGGGTCCTCCGTACTCAGCCGTGCATCCGTAACGAGGTTTGAAATGCCCTTCTTCAATCTAAATGTGTTCTTGCTGTTACTCACTGGAGTATTATATTTACAAAACGTGAGATTGGAATAAAATTTGGATGACAACTATTGCACCACGAATAAAGTGAATAGAATACATTTGTCATCGAGTTTACAGTTAAGTCACGTGTTTTTTTCCCCGCCTGAGACTATTAATCAAGACCCAGATATTTAGGAAATTAATCAGTAATATTAACCTGCAAAGGAAAGCTATGATATGTTAACTTTGAGGAAGTTGACATTATGCTAATAGATTTTTCACTTGATGCTGATAAAGATCTTTTGTTTATATTTGATTTACTTTATTTACTATATTCATGAAGTCAAATGGAATGAAAAAAACGCCAAATTTCGAACAATTTAAAATCGATATTAAAATATATTTAGTTCCTCTTTTTATTGATGTTTTTCTAATCGGAGAGATACTAAAAGAAAGGTTGACATATGAAATTAAGCAGAGGTGTTTCTTACTCTCTGATTCAAATATTAAAATATATTTAGAAACAATATCCAAATGTAGAAAATTAAAAGCAGTTTAATTTGTACACGTTTTTTCCCCGATAGCATATATGGTTATATAATGTACTCCTGTATGTAAATTATGTTTTGTTTTTATTAAAATGCAACGGTTTTAAATGATTTCATCCGATCCGAGAGTGAGTGGACTGAAGCTCCTTCTGTAACTCGTATATCTCAGAGGTCATTACAGCAGCACAAGGTCATCGCCATGGCGACAGTCCTTTTCATGCACAGTTTGGCCGGTTTGCATGTTTACAGCTGACACCAGACCATCTTTTAGCATGCATTTAGAGTCTGTGTTTTCTCAGCGGTCTAAACGTGCGTCACTGCTTCGCTTTTGTTGAGTGCATTAGCCCTGTGTGAGGAATAAGACATAATAACCATGTGTAATTTTTAACAAGCTCCCATGGCAGCTCGAGTGTGAGGTGGAAACTGCTGTATGTTGTGTTTGAACTGGAGGTAACAAGGCATGTCAGGTTGAAAAGCTATGGACGTGTTTCATGTGAGCGAGAGCAACCTGCCGAATGAGCAAAACAACGACGCTTGCTAATAGAGGAAGAACACAGGATCAGCTGACAGAGGGTTTAACTAGAATATAACTAGAAATAGAGCAGGAGAAGAGGTGATTGGTGCCTGCATGCATAATTCATCATCACTATAATAATCGGGTTGCTATATTATTGTTCAAGGTTGTTTTTAATTGTACAGCAACTGCACATTACATTACATTACACACACAAAACTAGTGACAGTAAATGCATTTATAAAGAATTTCTATTAAAAAAATGCTGTTCTTCTGAGCTTTCTATTCTTTGAGAATCCACGAAAATATTAACATTGACAAGAATGATGATAATCTTGAAATGTTTCTTGAGCAGCAAATCAGAGTGATTTCTGAAGGATCATGTGACACTGAAGACTCGAGTAATGATGATAAATTCAGCTTTGATCACAGGAATAAATTACGCTTTATTATATATTCACATAGAAAATAGCTATTTTGAATTGTAAGTACGCCAGGACATACTCATATGTCTTGACAAAGCCTTTTGAAAGCTTTATAAACCTCCTAGCATGTTTTATCATTTTGCTATCATTTTGTTAACATGTTTGTATCATGTTTTATTATATTGAATTAGCATGCTAACATGAATTAGCATGCTGTTAGTATGTCTTAACAAACTTGCTAACATGTTTGCTAGTGTGTATTTGCTAACGTGAATCTTGCTAAGCAATTGTTAGCGTATTCAGAGTTATTAAAAAAGCGACCCTCATGTCTTTGTGATAT